TGAATGCGATCAGTAATTTCTGGCAGCTCATTAGATGCTGTTATTAAGTATGTTTTTTAAAGTGACAAACGTGACTTGAAAGGGATGCAGATCCATGTCTGCTTTTTATTGGAACGCACACAAAACGCTCTGATCTTTTTCCACTGTTTACTACAAACAAATTTTACTGTTTTTTGGGATGATGATCCAAAGCCACTAAACTCCTAGCCAACAAATCTCCTCAGAGTCACTATATGACAACCTTTTTTGCATTTATAACCAGATTGTTTTAAGTGGTTCAACATTTGAAATATAACTTGTTATTCAAAGCAGCCATGACCAGATCAGTCCAATTAACAATATCAAACTGGGGTTAAGTCTCTCTCCATCCTTTTTAATTTGGTAGTGCTTCAATATATGGGAGGGTGCTGCAATGTTTCCATCAGCTCTTGTGGAATAACAGTCGTCTGGAAACTTCACCCGTCTGCTGTCTAGCCCCCAGCCCCCATGGAAAACTCTGGAAAGCCTTTCAAAAAATGTCCCAGACTCACTCAGACTGAGAGAATCAGACCAAAACAAAGATTTTTCTTACTATTGCCATTCTGATATACGGCCAACAGCACATAAGAAAGCACAATTTGTATTAATCTATATTTTCCAATCTTTGGCTGGGAAGTTGAGCGTTGACTCCGCTATTTTGAACAAATGGTTGAACAAGTTATAACAATATACTGCTAAAATATATTTTACCTAACCCTAACCCATGTAGTCAGTTCATTAAGGCAGATTTCATTTGCCTACAGTTTGCACAACAATATTGAGCTAAGAATGTCTTATCAATATAAACTTTGTAAAATGGAGACTGAATGCCCCTGTTAATTTAGCTCCAGCTTCAGGGCGCTGCATATGCAGACTAAAAAAAGTCCCCATGGTGTGTACTGTAGTTCTCAGGGAACTCCCTCGTGGATAGTTCCTCTTCAAAAAGTTCCCAGAACTGTTTGGTCCGAAAACACCTTTTGATACAAAAGCAATAAGTTACAAACGTTTTTGTTTTTGGTTCAGAGTGAGTTTCCCATCCACCTCAGCTGTGTCTTGGTTTAAATTGAAAAGTTAAAATTTGTTATCACACTAACACACTTCAGCAGATAGGTGAACATTATACCTGCTAAACATCCCATTGTAAAACAAAATCATTGAAAGCGCAGTCAGGTTAGCATAAGGCTCATAGCTCTGTTGTCCCGAAGACCAGCTCCCCAGAGCCACTGTCTGTACAGGAGCAGCCAAGTTTTTCAGTATTTCAGCTCTAGCATGTCTGATTGAAGCGATTCACTTAAATGTTATAATAAATACAGCTGTCTACACATGCAGCAGATACGGCTGGCAGCTCCCAAAAGTGAGGACCTAATCTCCTACTGCTGCTCTGCTTTTGTGCTGCTCACGCTACCTCCTGTTGACACAATGTTAGACTCTTACGCTTATTAACACTGATAGTTTAGAGCTGATATCTGACATTTCACAATCTTCATTTACTCACAATCTTCAAGGATTTCATTTAGTCATCACACTTACACAGCTTTTTTTTTCAAGGTTTATTTTATTGAGAGTCCAGTTTAAAAGTCTTTAAATGATGTTGACAATGTCATTGTAGGGTGGAGGAGAGAAGTGATCTACTGCTGTTCTTCAGGACTCTAAGGACCTTCTCAGACAGATGTGACGACCGTGGCAGAACCTTTAAGCACTTCAAGGTAAGTGAAGGGAAGAATCTGCTATTAAACAGTTAAACAGATTATTTCTTCCCCACAATTTGTATTTCAGTAACTGACTCAGGATTTGGTCTGGCTGACACAATAGACCTTAACAGATTGCAATTCTGCAACGGCGCAATAACAAAGCTCATCATTACTCCTTTTCACTTTAATATTGAGTGGTGAGATGGTGGTATCTCAATGGTGAGATATTGGTGGCCAATGTTTGTGAATTCCCAGTGCGTTATGGCGTTGCAGAAGCAAGATGTGTAAAGAAACAGTTAGGCGTTACAGGAGTGTACGTGTTGTGCCCTCGAACATAAATCTTTACCGGATACCACGATTGGATTTTTACCTAAACTAGACCCCTTGCTGGGTTTCATCCTCATAAATCATCGGAGGAGCCCTGTTGTCTCGTCCCAATTGGAGCTCAGAAAGTAAACCAAAAAGCAGAGTGTCTTGTTGTGACCCACAGAGGGCATTAGCTTCAGGTTTTTATATTTCAACAAAACAGTACAATTCTTATCCTGGCTTCTCTTTGGCATCTCCTTACAAACCAGTGCCACCTATAGGATGTTGTCAGAGGAGATCTTTTCAAATACATGCCTTTGTTATGGACTAAGGCTATAAAACATGCAATCCAGTGTCCTTCCCAATAATGAGGTTAAAAGGCTCATTTCATTTAACTGAATATGGACTCCCAAACCAAGGTAAGGTGATCAGTTCCCTTTTCCTATCTAGCGCCGGTGAAATTGTAATTATTTATTGTTAAGTCCTGTTTTTGTACGAGTACTCAGAGAACTATATTTGCTTGGTGAATAGATTAATAGTTGCTTTGAAAGATTTGATAAGATAAACAGACACATGCATAATGTAGATGTATTGTATTTATTTAGATTTCTGGAGGAAATTTCTGTTTAGCCTGTCATCTGACCCTGTGTAAGCTGTCTCGAACCAGTTGTCAGGAAAGAAAACAAAATGTATTTTTTACAACAAGCTAATGTCGGCTTATCACTTCAGAGTGGGTAAGTGTGAGCTGAAAGTGTTTGCTTTAAACCTAGCTAGATCAAGGTGTTGTGCAGCCGTTGGGTTTGGGATGATTGGTCGTGAAAGAGATTAACTCAAAGTGTGCAGCAGGTTAATTATAGATTTAAATTCGGTTGTGCAGAAATTAAGTTTCAGTTCTATTCCAGGGTGTGCAGCAGGTAAGTTAAAGATTGAAATCAAGTTGTGCAACAGGTAGGATCCAGATTTTTTTCAAAGTGTGTGCAGCAGGTTAAGTACAGATTTATTCCAGGGTGTGCAGCAGGTAAATTTCAGATTTATTCCAGGGTGTGCAGCAGGTAGGTTTTAGATTTATTCCAGGGTGTGCAGCAGGTAAATTTCAGATTTATTCCAGGGTGTGCAGCAGGTAAATTTCAGATTTATTCCAGGGTGTGCAGCAGGTAAATTTCAGATTTATTCCAGGGTGTGCAGCAGGTAAGTTTCATATTTAAATCATGCTTGTGGCAGATATGTTTCAGATTTAAAATCATACTGTGCTACAGGTAAGTCTCAGATTTGCTCAGCAGTAAATACACCTTTATCGTGTGCATTTAAAAGATGCAAGTTTATTCTGGTGTAATACTGATTAATGCTGCTCTGGTCTGGTGTTGATTTTACTTCTTAATGATGACAGTACACAAGCATGGTCCTGCTGGTGGATCTGTATTAGAATAGAATATAGAATAGAATTACTTTATTGATCCCAAACTGGGAAATTACCATTTTCATGTATTAATTTGTACATAGTCACACCACTAGTACTAAAATCAACACCCTTTGCTTTATAGTGTTTATTTTAAGATTCAGTCTAATACATCCATGTTTTCTATCGCTTAATATCTGTACAAAATTCCCATTCTATCCTATTTATCTTTGCCATGACATTTCTTCTGTTGTCTGTAATACAGAAAAACTTCTTGTAAGTTGAAAGAGAGCTGTCAGCTTTGTGTGGAGGATGAAAAAGGGGCGACGCCACCACCTTTTCAAGGGCCTTCTTTTGTAAAGCTGCTTTTATTCAGGTTGATGAATGACTTGAAAAATCAAGGTTATTGCAGTTGGTGAGAATTACTTGGGGCATGGTTAATGTCAGGGTGTGACTTTATTGGATTGGTAGCAATTTAATGTCAAATAGTAAATCAAGCCAAGAAGCAATGTGGTACATATCCTCCAGTTTACTTGGAGAATTTAAAGTTCTGCCAAGTTGGCTGAGCTAAAGCAGGATTAACCCACATTTTCCATACTGGCCTGTATGCTCTGAACTCTAATTTTGCTTTAGCTGAATTTTCTTCGAGGTTTATTATGGAAAGAAACCTAATTTCCTTTGTAACTATTCTGATGTAATGTGGGCAGTGCTCTGTGTGCAGTTTTCCATACTTTAATTACTGACAGACATAAACATGTATTTACAGGAAAAGACAAACAGGGACATATAATACAAAGAATTCATACAATCCAGGCCAAGAATCTTTAAGATTTTTGTTTCTGGTCGACCACTACGTTTACCAGCCAATCACTGATGGACTAAAGGTCTGCAAATTATGTTTAACTACGCAGAAGCTACAACCACAGACATTTACAAGCATGTGGCCAGTCACTGAGTGTCATTTCTTTGTTGTGAACACATAAGTATTAAATGTCTTTGCATATTAATGATGAAGCATGCTCAAATGCTCAAAGTCAGCCATGGGAGTTACCAGTTTGAGTTTATGTTTATCCAGTGGTACTATAATACGGGATGTCACATCTTCTTTTCAATACTCAGCGAGGACCTTTATATTATCTATGTTAGCAAGTGCTCAAATATGGCCTAATCACATATGAAACATCGTTCTACTGTTTTGGTGCTTCTTTAAACAAATATAAACTACTAATGTAAATCTTTTATACAATTGCCAAAGAAAAACCTTTTTTAAGAATAACCCCACAATGTTTTTCTGCCAGCACGATTTCTTTAATCTAAATATTTTTTTAAACAGTCCCACTGGGGCGCGCTGGTGGCGCAATGGTTAGGGTGCGCGTCCCTTGTGTTGTCTCGAGCAGTAGGCCCGGGTTTGCTTCCACCCGTGGCCCCTTTCCGCATGTCATTCCCGGCTCTCTCTCCCTGGTTTCCAACTCTATCCACTGTCCTCTCTCTGCATTAAAGGCACGAAAAGCCCAAAATAAATCTTAAAAAAAACAAAAAAAACAATCCCACTTCATGCAGAGCAGACTTCGACAAAAATTCAAAACACATTTTAATTAAAAAAGTTAACTTTATTTAAATATCTAAAATAAAAATAGCCATGTCACTTACACATCTTCCTGTACACCACTGCCTTTTTCACATCAGTAATCATTTTTAAAGTAGTTCTTAATACTGGAAGGGAAGAGTAAGGGACACAGGCAAGAAATATTAAAGGCAGACAAAATAAAGAGGAGTAACTTTCACATTACTATAGTTCGTAGATACATTGCCCCCCAGTTAACTTCAACTAGACAGTATAAATAAAAAAGCATTGACTCTCAAGTCAATGCTGAAGAAAGCCTTCATTTTACAAGTCTAGATAGTCATAGCCATTATGTTAAAATGCGTTTTTAAATGGAATAATGAGATAAAAAATAATTCACACAATGGCAAAACCCACAGTAATGTGTTCATGTCAAGTCATTTTCTGAGAGAACAGTCAATTATAAAAGTTGTACAGACTTTTCCTACTGGCATTACTAGAAAATCTCAGAGTCAGATTGGACATTTTTGACAGGCATTGGATCTCTAGGCATAAAACAACATTTGCAAACTAGAATATTGCTCAATAGATATTTTCTTGTAAGGGTCACTTTAAAATGTTTTCATACCGGTTATGTGATAAAGTTCAGTTTGAGAAAATAATCATTTGAAATGTACAAGGTGTCTGGTATCAATCATTCCTTTTGTATTGCTAAACTCAGTTCTTGTTTGAAAGATAGTTCTTACATTATTAAGTACACTATCTTTCCTACAGTCAACAGGATTGTAGGAATACTTGGATTAAATGTGGTTTATCAAGTCATATCTAAGAATGTTTCTTTTTAAGTTTGTGGTGACAGTATATAAGACGAGTTATTTTGCCAAACATGTATTTTTCCCATATTTAGCCTCAAGGTTTTAATGGCTGAGCCTTGAAATTCTAAAATGCAGCATGCAACTTTATCAATAACCCAAGTCGAGTGATCTTGCAACGACAGCTTTCAGTATTTAATTCCTGGCAGCCAACATGGAGCATGTTGAAATATGGGATTTGGCTTTGCAAAGCTAGATCGAGCTGTTAGTCATACTTTGGTGTTGATTCAGTTTAAAACTCCAAAATGAGAGATTCTACACTTTAACAAGGCACCTGTTTTGGTCAGACAGCTTCTTATTGGAGCAAAATGTTTCTGTTTAAGAAATCATCTAAAAAAAAAGTGAAAACATTGTCCTGTTAGTTCCTAAGCCAGGACTACAGGTAGTTATAAACAAGCTTGTTGGATTTTGGTTTGTCAAATGCAGTGTATGTAGTTTTGTATGTCCAGGTAGTTAAATGTCAGGTCAGAATGAAACAATAAATTGGACTGTCTTTGTAGAGATCTTGATTCTTTTCCAACCAAACTGTGGAGTTAAATCTGATCTACTGGCAATATTTCACAAGTGTAAAAGGAATTCAAAAGTAGCCTCACATCTGGTGCCTTCTGAGTATGTGGCAAGAATCTTTTAGGCATTTTTTTTCAGTTACTATTGTCAAGGCTTTAGTATGCTTCAAACAAAGAGATTATAAAATGTATCAACGGTATCTGAAACATGACCTTCCTTCCTGCCCTTTAGTGCAGCTATAAAAAGCACAAACAATGATTTAAGACATTGTCAGACAACTATTTTACGACAATATCTATAAAAGTTTATCTAGATGTGGATGCTGTATCTGTAGGGGGCATACAAGATTCTGTAACCAGAAGTATTGTAGTTCTCTTCTGTAGTCCATTTGTTGTCTGTGTAGTTTTGACTTTGGTTGCAAGAGTTTGATATTTTTGCTGAAATGCAATCCTAGAATGTTTAAAATCTTAAAGGTGAAAATGTATAAGAGCAAAAATACATCAATCTGACAAAGTCAATTTGCATCTCATGTTTCTAGTTTCTTGACCTGGTTATCCCTTATCTGTTATCCTGATACCCACTTGCTGCGCAGGAATCTTGAAAATATTGATCATTTCCCCTAGAGGCTTGATTGTGTCAGATAATAGCTGATAGGCTCAGACTCTTTTTGAAGCATATTGAGGCCTTCAAACCCCATTCTCAGGTGGTGGTGGAAAAACTCCTTCAGCTAAACACCTTCAGTCCACTGAGTAGTTTCATTTTGACCTGTCAAAGTAAAAATCTGTTTGTAGGAAAGCAAAAAAACAAAAACAAAACACTGTTATATCCACAATGGGACCAGTGCCAAAAAAGAACCTCAGCCCTCTGGTGTGGGAAAACTGCTCCATCAGCAACAAAAGAGATACAGTAAATTTTCAGCCTACTCAGCGGTAGCGGCCGATAGGCAATACCTTCATACAGGTAAAGCTGTCAGGGTACTTGGACAGCACGACAGGATTTCCATCCAATCGGACCTCATTGAGGCTTGGTCGCAGGTAGTAGGTGTTATTTGAACGGCAGAAGGTGTCAACATTGACATCAGTGATGTTGTTATTCTGGAGGAAATTAAAACAATGTTAAGAGGGTAACACAGCAACTCATACCAAAATAAGAAGTTTAATTTTTCATATATTTTAGAAATAAGACATACAAACCTGTAAATGTAAAGTGCGGACACTGTCAGGTATATGTGGAATAGCCTCTAACTCATTGTCTGCAAGGAGTAGGTTCATCAGCTTGGTCATTTTCTATTTGAGGAAAATATCACACAATTAGACCCAGATGTTTAGATAGTTTGAAGCTACAGTTAACAAACAGGGTAGGTGTTTTGACTGTGTGCAGCTTCTTTAAGCCTTGCCATCACACTGAGGTTGCCAAACTAAACGTGTGCCTGTCAGCCATGTCTGTCAATGTGTGATACAGCCAAAGCAGCTGCACACAAGTAACACAAGGATGGATTTCCCTTCAAGACAGGGTTTTAAGTTGAAACTTCCCACAAAGAACCTCAACAGTTTAATCTCACTTTTTGGAAAAGAATATTAAAGCAAACTCTTGAACTAACTAATTTGAAGAACAGCAGTCAGAAAGTAGAGCTTCACATTCTTTCAAGATTACTAGCTAGTGATAGGCAAAAGGATCTGTTTTTGTTTAAAAACTGCATTGAGTTGTCTCACTCATTAGATCATGTTTGTATATTCCCAGCTGAAAATGTTTGGAGAGGTATTGATGTGTACCTTGAAAACGTTGGCCTTGACACCCTTTGTTTTTAGGAAGTTGTGGTTGGCATTGAATGATGTTAGTTTGGCAGGGAGCATAGGAAGTTTGACCAGTCTGTTCTCAGCCAGAGACAATTCCTCTAGAAGTGTTAGCTTAGAGAATGCGCCGTCATCAATCTCTGAGATCAGGTTACCCGTCAGGTCAATCCTCTTCAGAGTCACTGTCGATAGAAGGGGTAAAGAAATAAGTTATTTAACTCCAAGTAACTACATTACACTCTTTTAAGTGTTATCAGAAACTGATCTTTGCTGTCAGAGCTCACATCAGGGTATCTAAAAACACACAAGGACACCTGTTTACATATTGTCATTTGTGAGCGACAAGCTTAAAGACAGTCATAGTCAGTAAATGTGGCTTGGTTTATACACTGATTCTGACAGTTGGATGAAACAGTTATAGTGTCAGCTGTGTCTAGAGTCGCCGTCGCTCAATCGGAAGGTTGAGGGTCGAATCCCCAGCTCCTGCAGCAACATGTGCGACAAGATAGAACACCTAGGAACACCAGGTGAAAGTCTACTAAACTAAAACTAAGTAGATGTATTTGTATGATGTGATACACGCCTGTTAATGACCTTGACCCAGTGACCCAGTTAATTGAGCTTGATGATACAATCTAAATAATGTACATACATTTTCTTTCTTTTCTTTTTTACTTCTGGCCATTGAGTTGGACTTTCTATGGATGAAGAAAGTTTCTACACTTACCAATGTCTGCAAAGTCTTTGTTGCTGATCTTTTTAATCTTGTTAAAGCGGGCGTACAGGTAGGCTGTCTCTTTAGGCAGGGTTGGAACAGCGGTCATGTCTGGACTGACTTCCTCACAGTACACTGAACCAGTCAGGCACACACACAGCAGGCATGTGGGGAGATCTGCAACACAAAGGCATCACAGAAAAAAATCAAGAAATTTTAAGAATAGCCATCTATGGAAATGTTTACATTTATATCTAAGGATGGAAATCATGAACTGATTGCAGTCACAACAGTATACTTTAGACTACATACCATTGATCCTTGCTTAATTTGAGAAAAACTGCAATTTACAAATATTCTCAATTCATTGTTTAGTGCATGTCAGGAAAGATAATTTTGTGAGCCCAAGTTGATTGTGTTCAAATTCAATGAATCACGGGGCAACCAAGCGGACAATTTGTTTGACAACATGAAACCATGGAATAAACAACTGACATGATCAAATTAGTTGATTCTGATCGGTTGGCCAACTAATCATTTAATTTGCAAAACAGCTTTAATCAAACCCTCTAAATGTTATGCAAGATATACATCATATATTGAAAACAAGTCAGTCAAACCCAAATGTATCTGTGTGCTTTGAAAGAATTCAGTGGTACAAACTGTACAGTATTAATGAATAGCAACCACATGACATGATTTATTACTTAATATCTTCACTACTGTAAAGCTCACCTCCATTTCCAAATGCAACAGCTCAGATTTGTCTTTTTTTTTCTTACTAACAAAAGAGACTATAACCCACATACTGGTACTATGGTTGTAGGGCGGGTGTAGCTCAGTCTGTATTGATTTTTTAGGGAACCGGAGGGTTGCCGGTTCAAGTCCTGTTGTGGACCAACAAATATGGAAGTTGGTCTGGTATCTGGAGAGGTGCCAGGTCACTTTCCCAACAGCTCTGGCGGTGCTCCATGTGTAGCAGCCCCACTCTGACATCTCTCCACTAATGCATGTCCACAGGTCCTGTTTGTGCATGTGTGAGAAGCACGTCTCTCAATAACCAAGTGTAAACCAGAATTTCTCTGAGGGATTAATAATGCATGTAAAATAAAAAAATGAAAAATTATATTACAGTTCATAGATTCCATTTTGTATGGCCTGCGTGGACTGGCACCAGCTTACATCCCCATTTACCTCAGTTCTTATTCTACTCTGTTTTATTACTTATTACTGGTCTGTGTACCCTGACCAAACTCCAAACTTATCCCAGTTTCTGTCACCTTAGCACCTAAAAGAACAGATACTCTTGTTGGTGTTTAAACTTGTTAAACAAAACTCAACAGTACTTGTCTGCCAACAAATACTCCTGGGTCTAACCAATTCTCTTTGAATTGCTTTTCCAGACCATTAAATCCTAAACAGATGGAGTCAAAGCAACCTAAAACAAATGGATTGAAGTTTTGAACATTATCTAAATAGGATGTTCTTCTGTATATTAACAGCTAGATTTATAGTTATTCATTTTGAAATACCTAAGGCGTCTCCTCCATCTGGAATTGGACTGTCATCAGGTTCATCAGCAATCGGCAGGGCCCTCTGCCAGAGAAAACACATGTTCACTTACAAGCAAAACTCAGTTGACAAAGCAAAACAATGAATGAACAATGATACATGAAGTATCTTTTAGTTCCCTGTCTCTTTTCTAAAAAATCCTCTGGTTGAAATGACTTAAAATACTCAAATACATATGTAATATACCCACTCTTTTTATTTAGAGTTTACAATTCACACTAATGGAGATTATAGCCACGTTAAGTCTTACAGTTACAAACTGATTGCTTACAGTTACTGAATGTGTGATTTTTGGTTTAGTTCAATTATGAAGGGGGTACTAGTGGATATATTTTTAGTAATAGGTGAAGTTGAAAACTTAGACAGCAAATACTTTTTTAAAGAGGCCAGTGGCAAGGTCAAGTTCCAAATCAAGTGAGAAAATTGAATGTGATCTATGAAGTACATTCAAAGAAAACTAACTAACAGCTGAAGAGGTCATTTAGCTATAAGCCATATTGTATTGCCAAAAGATATTGTTGCAATGATAACTAAAATTCCACAATCTTTTGGTGATCAATCATCTCCAAGGATGTTGAACTTGGATGCATTCACTTGGACTAGTGCTCCAAGGATGATGTTTCTCACAATACCTCTGTACTGGTAGATTTTTTTTCAGACCCCTCATTACCATCAACTCACATTTAGTCCAAGGATATATTGGTTGACTAAGCTCTCTGTGCTAGTCAACTATATATTCCACAGTTGCTTACAGGCTAATTACTTGACAGCTGCAGTAACAAGGAGTACAGTCTGGACCTTCTCTTTTTGTAGAGTGTCTTGAGACAGCATTTTTGATTAATTGGCTCTTTACAAGTAATGATTGATTGATGGATTATGTATGATTCATAATGTTGGTGGGCTGCATTAAAAATGTTAGTTTTTATATTTGTGATGATAACTTTTCGACTTCCAAGAGTTAGTCTGACCCTTTTCACCCTGATATTCAAGTCCCCCTACTTTGAAAAACACTGCTGAGGACTAAGGATTGATGGGTCTGTGGATGGCTCCTGGCACATTCAAACCCTTTTAGTTTGTTGGCGGGGTATGTTACACCAGAAATAAACCATTTGCCATTAAAGTCTATGGATCTGAAGGCTCATCTGTAAGGTTGTAACCACTAAGCTTTGTTTCGCATATCTGACAAATTAGATAATCTGCTACAAGTAAACAAACTGCTAGTTGAAATCCTTACTTTCCAGGTCTATTAGCTCGGTAGTAAATGTTCAAACAATCAAGAGCTGATAGGGTGTGATTTAGTAGCGGCAAACTATTAAAGTACCCCCAAGAAAATTACCAATCCCAAAGCGAAATTGTCCTACTCACCCTCAAACTAATAAAAAAAATGAAAAGAAATCTTTCCAAGTTGAGGATGAAAATGTTTGCCTTAATGAAACTTGTGGTTAACTGTTGTAGCAGATGGTATTAGGCCTGTCTCTAAACAGTCTGGTACTGGTGAAGTCTTGTATGAAAAACAGCTGCAGCAAACTTAAGTGTCTATAAAACTGAAGCAACGCTTCAAAATCGGTCTACTTACTAATTTTTCCCTTCTCTTCTTATCCTTAGGATTCTTTGTGGCTTATTTTATTTCATGTAAGTGCTTCCTAAAGGTTTACCCAGACCAGACTTTGGTTTTAGTTTTTCCAAAGTTTTTTTTTGAAGAGGTTAGTGAGGTTAGTGGATGGTTGAGATGTGGTTGATTCAGGGTTGGGTTTGTTTGCTGGAAGAACAGTTTGACACCTGTATGTGGTGTGTGTGTGTGTGTGTTTGGCACTGTCTGGTAAATGGATTATTATCTGAAGGAGGATGTTGAAGAGTAGCTCTGAAAGAGTCTGTCATTTAGCTGGTAGAACACACTGAGTGGATTATTAGCTTTTAGAATATTTATGAAATTAAAAAACCATGAAGTAGTAGTACCATATATCCCTTTTTCATCAGTTTTAATTATATTATCTTAACAACCTTTTGCATAAATTTCTCTGGTAAGAAAAGGTTTGCATTCTTATCAACATCTAAGTGTCTCTGTTCTCATTTTTATTGTAACAAGAGCATATTGTTTTTATTCAATAATAGGTGAAGTGCATTGATCTTTTAAACATTATCCTTAATGCCTTATAATATTATTCTGAAATATTAAGCTGCAGTGACAACCATAGGTTAAAAAAGTTTTCAATAGACTGATGAAAAAGTGTTTATCCCATTACAGAAATCAATCAATATTTAAAATTGATGCATTTTTCACGGTTATTCATGACATTTCTAGATGATATAAGTATTGGATTTCTTACCGTAGCCCTCCTTGATTTCAAATAGTCACTGAAATATCCATTCAGCTCTCTGCCTTGTAGAGATCCAGGAATCAGCTGGGAGTCCTGGTCATAGCTCCTGGCCGAGGCTGCCGTCAGCCATAGCACCAGCATACAGGTGAATAAGAGAGCCTTCATGCTGTTCAAAACAGTGTGATGCTGACACGCAAGCTTGCTTCAAGCCTGGGTTTGGGTCAGCAGCTGCTCTCTGCTACAAGCCCCTGATGGGATGTGTCAAATGACTGTATTTAAAGGCTGAACCAGTAGCTTCCAGCAGACTGTTTAAGCAGAATTTATAGAGCAGAGCACTTAACCCTTCCCTGACCACCCATTAGTGTGCAAGAGAGCGAGCGAGAGAGAGAGAGCGACAGACAGGGTGTACAAAAAAGGCACATATGGAAAAGGACAAATAGAGATGAAAGTGGATTTTTTTTCTTTTAAATGTCACATATGTGTACTGCACACGGTTGAAACTGCAGAGGGAGCAGAAAAATTGAAAGTTGACAACCACAGAGTGAGTTGTTTTGTCAGGAGGAATGTCTGTGAGAATTTCTGGCCACTCAATAATGACTTGTAATAACCAACCTATCCTTCACTAGCCTCACAGAATGTTTTTTTCTCACAGGGATTAGTCAGAGAGCTAGTTTTACAGCCATTAGACACACATTGATTATAAGCCATATAATGTATGGGATTTCTATGAATATACAAAAAGCAAAGTCTGCTTTCCTCTCTGGATAACTCCTTTCCTTTTGGTTAAAACCAATCTGTCTGTAAAATTACAGCAAAATAATCAGGGGAAAAAATGTCCTCAGGTGGTTATGAGTATGAAATAAAAAGGTACTTAAAGTGTTTATAATTGTCTTGATTACCAAACAAGCTTTCAGGGTTGAATACATAGATCAACACAATTCACTATATATGAAGCTTAGTCCTGTTTCACTGAAAGCATTTGGTCAGAATGACAGTCCCCAACATTGGTTCCTTTTGCTTTATCAAAACCAAATGAAGACTCTTTCTTGTAGAGCTAGGACATGCCCTCCAGCAACAGTCTTTGATTTCCTTATTGCGTCCTTCCTGATGATGAGGTGTCTTGAATGAAAATGTTGTTGAAAGATTCAGAGGCTGTTCTCCTTCGAACATTTGTGAGCGATTTTACCGAGTCTTTGCACTGAGTTTTGTTAAATGGCTGATCAGATATGAAGTAGTGACAGGTAAACTCTTTAATTGTCCAAACTCCTTTAGGGAAACGGTATAAATGATTTGTACTTAATTGGTTTTGTTTCTGATTGGTCAGTACCTAAGTATGTGTAAACTTTAGGACAAAAGATGCTTCCAATCCGAAATCTAAACAATACCTTGAAATATCATCAATAGTTGACTTTTATTATCAATAAAGATATAGATACACAGATATCAGAATCAATAATCCCTTTAATACATGTCCCTACTTTTTTATAATTCATGTGAATTTAGGATTTTTCAGGCATATCCCTAATCCCAGATATAATATATATATATATATGTATACAGTATATGTATACTGTATGTATATATTAATGCTGGTTATTTTCTTTATCTCAGATGATGTACACTGCAAATGCAAATGACCACACAGTCTTCTGCAATGCCAGATGTGGAAGTGAAATCATTTAAGATTTCTCATCTGCAACATTAGGTCTAATTGTCTTGGGTTTTATAGTTTATGAGAACATCTGTTGAAGCGGTATGCATGATCATTATCAATGCCTGAAAGCCAAGCAGATTCAAAGATGTGTCAGGACACTAGATATGTGTTGAAATGTGGCCCACTGGCTGCGTTTTTGAAAAAGAAAAAAAAGAAAGAAATCCTCACGTGAATGGTTTTTTTAATGGTACCTATTCCAAATTTTAGTATCTGTTTTATGATTTAAAAAATGTTTTTGCTGTTCTAGACATTTTCCCATGACAAGAGAAGCCGTAGGAGCAGAACAATTACTATTCCAATTCCCAAATGCTCCCAGATTTTGTCTTTGATTTTTATTGTGAGAGTTTATTGACATTTTTCCATGACCTTTACATTTAAAACATGTGATAAACCAAATAATAATGAAGTAAAATAATCATCTAAATAACAAAATCATTGTGTTCTATGTTACCTGCCTGGCATGTTGGCTTGAGAAAAAGTAAACCTGGAAGTATGATTCATCAGAAGTTGTCGTAAAAGGTATTTCACAAACAATATCTCACCTTCCCCATTTTAACGATTGCTTGCTTTTTTACTTCCCTTTAAAGACGAGCAATGGTCCCTGGAAGATATTGTTAGTACATTCTGGACATACAGTTTCTGAGGTTATAATCTCTTTAATACATCTATCACTGTGATTAAAATCCACAGGCTCACTTCTTAAAGTTAGGAATTCTGCATAGACAACACACCAATAAATAGTTGCTTACATGATAAACTCTAAGCTGCCTGCAGTGACTAGAAAAACAGATTTACAGGGAACTGGCCAAAAGAAAAAACTGCATGCAAGAAGTTTCCAAAACAGAAAGGCCAAGAGATTCTCTGTAATAAAATGAGAAGACACTGTTCACTCAGTCTATTCCACAGCTGTTGAGGTCCAGCTGTTCTTGGGTTGATTTCAACCTTGGTTGTCAAATCAATGAGATATTGGGCTTTCCCAGAGCAGTTCTTAAGAAATTGCTTTTTTGTGGGGGTTGTCCTTTTACATGCTTAAAAAAAGAAAGAAAAATGACAAGAGACAGTACTTCCCTATAAACAAGCATAGATAAAGAGCAGAGGCTAAAGTTTAAAAGCAAAACAGTTAAATAGAAAACATGTGACTATTCCAACGTTCAAGAGGAGAGGGAAATGAATGGGGCCCAGATTCAATCATCCAAGGAACATGAGCCCAGACTGTTACAGGTGTGTTAGCAATTATGAACACTTTTAAACTTTTACGACTCTGGGAAAAGGGCCAGCAACTGGAGAATGTTTTTACTCTCACTAATTTTCTATACCAGAGGTTGGGCTGTCAAGGTGGTTAAGGTGGTATTCCATTGCACAATAAGCCAGTCAATGGGGAAAGCCACACACAACAACACACTAATTGCATATTTTTCCTGTCATGTTGACTGGCTCAATGTTTTTGTGTAAGCCCTTTTTTAAGCTTATAAATCAAAATGTATTGTGTTTTTGTACTAAATAGAATAAATGAAAGGCATTGAAATAAGTTTGTTTTATTTCCAATTTATGTTTAAATTAGCCCAGAAAGGGCGAAAAAAATTAAAGTTGATGAATTTACATAAAATTGTTGCAGATAAGTGATAAAAGACCAAACACAGAGAAGGCTGAACTAGAGAATTGATCTCAAAATCACAGTTATATAAGAGCATTATTCCAGTTGAAAGAAAGAAATGTGACATAAAAAGCATAAATTGCATCACTATTTCTGATATGGCCTTTGAGCCCTAGTTAGGTTGCTTATACTTCTTTCAAATGTACTTCTATCAAATGTCTTATTATTGTCTAATTATATTGTTAGTATTCTGTTTGCATTTGTGTAGGCAAACTTGTATGTGTGAGTTTTTATTTTTTTATCTGTATTGCTCTCTTGTTTCATGTACAGCACTTTGGTCAGCTGTTGCTGTTTTTAAATGTGCTTTATAAATAAGTGTGATTGATTGATTGATTGATATGTGTCTTGGTACTGTTTCCAATCACACAGTTTTGTCCAGTCATTTTTAATGTTGAATCTGAGTCTTTGGTTTGAGTCTGTTGCTGCTATTTTTCAGCATACTGGTAGAAATAGTTCCTTGTGGTTGCCTGCTCGGACCCCATGATTTTTTCCTCCTCATCACCATTGCAGTTAACCTTTTTTTGGGGCTCATTTCTTCTGACAGCTGCGATCGACATGATTGTGAGCTAGGTTTTAGAGTGACAGGTGTATGTGAACGATACGTAATGGCAGACCAAAGCCAGTGCGGACAAAACAACATACGTCAGGGAATTTACTTCACACAGACACCCAATTGACTGGAAAGTAGATTTCAACACTTAAGACCACCTGGCCAGGCATTTAACAGGCTTGGTCTGCATGGGTCTGGCTGACAACTGACATGATGTATTAACCCACCACTGAGAGCTGTGTGTTTTGGTCACGACATAGCCACCTCCTTGCTCCATGCTGTCGCCAGCAGCTGTTTAGCTGACAGGTTTTTTATTTTAACTAAGAGACTTGTTATGTAATAAATGTTATATATGTTTTTTTTAATTAAATTGTTTTCACAAAACCAATACCTTCAGTTACATTATAAGGCTTCATGTACCAATGTAGAGGAATCAAACAACCATCAGACTGTGTCGTTCCCACAACCACTGCCGTCCTCATTTATGCACAGCATGCTCTGACCTCCACCTCAGCGGCTAGGAGGTTGACAACAGGAATGCAAGGAAGACAAAGGAGAAATCTTTCCTGCATATTATCACGTATGCTCTTTTGTAAACCGTCTCAAGATAACACTTGCTATGAATTGGCACTTTACTAATAATTATCGATTGATTGATTGATTGAAACTGTTCAGCAAAAATCATCTTCCAACTCTACTTTACCTCTGGAGCTTTTTAACCTCTCATAAGTCATGGTATTTTCTTTGCACATAATTGACTTTCAGCTGGTCAAAGCATTAAGATGAAAACAGCTGTTTGTATGTAAGATCTCTGATAAACCCTCTGTACAGCAATTAGTGAGCTCGTGACGACCAAACAGTAGTTAAAAAGGTATGATTATTGGCTGTCAGAAAAAAAGCATTTGTACTAATATCTACTAATTTGAAACTGCAGAAATAATTTCAGAAAATTTAATGGTACCTTGATTATGACTTTTTATCATCAAACATAAAAAAAAGGTTAACATTGAAAATATGAGCCACTTCTGAATGTTTGCTGACACTTAGCTTTGGTGTGTCAAATACTTGTGTGGCAAAAGGTTCAAATATGGAACCTGATTGCATTCAAATTATTTCTTAAACTGAGTTGTCTGAAGTGACTGACCTTTGTATGGACACACATTGATTTTTTATATTGTTTACATACTTTCATCTCTTGCTTGGTTCATATGATGATGTTTGCTGGGAGGGTTGTTTTTTTTAAATTATTTTTGTAAGTTTAACAGTCATTCCCACAAAAGCTTCAGGAATGATGCAGCACAGGTTGTTCCAACAGTTTGGTTGCACAAGTAATTGAATAAGTTCTTACTGTAGGTCTGTTCTTTTTTCCTTTAATCTTT